CACAGGACTGAGAGTCGCCATAGCTGGCTGGGGGAATTCTGGGAGTTGAAGTCCAAAGGACTGAAAGTCGCCATAGCTGGCTGGGGGAATTCTGGGAGTTGAAGTCCAAAGGACTGAAAGTCGCCATAGCTGGCTGGGGGAATTCTGGGAGTTGAAGTCCAAAGGACTGAAAGTCACCAAGGTTGAGAAACACTGTTCTAGTCCACCCCGCGGGGAAAGCAAGCGAGGCCGAGCGAGTGGGCGGGTGGGTGGCTGGAAGCTCGGAGCGGGGAACCGGGAGACAGGCTGGCGTCCCGGCTCCGGCTCCTGGCTCGGAAAGCCTCCATGGGAGAAAGGGGACAGGGCTTCCCCTCGTTACAGGTAGGCCTTGACTTGCGGCCACCGTTCAGTCCCGATATATTTCTGTTGCTAAGCGAGACAGTTCGGTGAATTTCTTTGCCCCGTTTTGCGACTTGGTGGTTCACTGCAGTTAGTAGCAGGGTTTTGCAAAGTGGTGCCTCCGGCTTTGGCTTGTCGGAAAGTCGCAAAAAGGGGAATCATATGACGTCCGTCATAAATCCGAGTCAGTTTTCCAAGCGTCTGAATTTTAAAATCACATGACCATGGATGTGCTGCGGTGGTTGTAAGTGTGAAAAACGGTCACAGGGCACTTTTTTCCCAGTGCCGTTGTTACATCGAACGGTCGTTAAATGAACTGTTGTAAGTTGGGGACTACCTGTAGTTCAGGAGGACGTGGAAGAAATCTCCAGCAGCCATTATATCCTTCTCTTGCTCCGTCACCTTTTCAACAGCTAATCCACACGACACCCCTGCAAAGTAGGCCTGTGGGATTCTTCCTAGATCACCGAAGGCTCAGTTGGGGGCCCTAAAGAACAGTTCAAATACTTGCTTGTTTTTATTTACAGCATTTAAAATTGTTGCCCATTCTGATCTTGTGACTATTCACGGGACAAAACCTAAACATGAAATAATAGAACCATGTTACAGGTAGTCCTCAACTTACGACAAGTGGGATTGGAACTTGCTAGATGAGGTGGCTGTTAAGTGAGTCACACTCATTTTTAGGACAGTTTTTTTGCCACCGTTGTTAAACAACTGGCCTGGTTGTTAAGGAAATCCACAAAACCTAAACATGAAATAATAGAACAGTGTTACAGGTAGTCCTCAACTTACGACAAGTGGGATTGGAACTTGCTAGATGAGGTGACTGTTAAGTGAGTCGCACTCAACTTTAGGATGGTTTTTTTGCCACCGTTGTTAAAAAACTGGCCGGGTTGTTAAGGAAATCCACAAAACCTAAACATGAAATAATAGAACAGTGTTACAGGTAGTCCTCAACTTACGACAAGTGGGATTGGAACTTGCTAGATGAGGTGGCTGTTAAGTGAGTCGCACTCAATTTTCAGGACATTTTTTTGCCACCGTTGTTAAACGACTGGTCTGGTTGTTAAGGAAATCCACAAAACCTAAACATGAAATAATAGAACAGTGTTACAGGTAGTCCTCAACTTACGACAAGTGGGATTGGAACTTGCTAGATGAGGTGGCTGTTAAGTGAGTCGCACTCAATTTTCAGGACATTTTTTTGCCACCGTTGTTAAATGACTGCCGTGGTTGTTAAGCAAATCCACCTTCCCCATTGACTTTACTGGTCAGAAGCCAGCT